CTGATTCAGAGGGGCACATGCACTCCCATGTTTACAGCAGCACTATCAACAATAGTTCATGAGTTGAAGCCCCGCATTGGGCTCTGTGCTGACAGCTCAAAGCCTGGAACCAGCTTCAGAATCTGTGTCTCCCTCTCTCTCTGCCCCTCCCCTGCTCATGCTCTGTCTCTCTCTCTCAAAAATAAACATTAAAAAAAATTAAAAAGTTAAATTTTAGCTATGAAATAATAAAAAAATCTCAACATAAGAAATTTCATCTTTTGGGTTCTTCTCTAAATTGTTATTAACACAAGTGCATATCAGGGCATCTGGGTGGCTCAGTCGGTTGTGTCTAGACTCTTGATTTCAGTTCAAGTCATGATTTCAGGGTCATGGAATCGGGTGCTGCATTGATGCCCAGCATGGAGCCTGCTTGAGAGTCTCTTCTCCTTCTCCCCCTGCCCTTCCCCCTGACAAGAAAAAAAAAAAAAAAAGATTAAAAAAAATACAAAGTGCATATCATCAAAAATAGTACGACTATACCATCTTTACACAGTCTTATTTATATTTTCGTGACTTTATGTATAAGAATTCATTCTGTAAAAGAATATGATTCATTTGTACTGTGTAATAGCCTACTAATAATTTAGTGAATTCTTGATTCTTTTTGTTTTATAGGAAAAAACTCAGGCTGTGGAACTCTGGCAGACTGCTTCTCAGGAGTTGGACAGACTTCAGAGACTTTACCAGGAATATATGACTGAGGCCCAGATTCATGTAGTTGAAAGTCAAAAACAAAAGGTAATCTTGGATTTCATAGTTTTCTTACATATCAGTTTTCATAGTTTTCTTATATATCTTCATTCTGGAGAAACTCAGTTTTGAAGAGAAATGCCTAAGTGTCCATTGTGTTATTTATGTTAAATAGATCTTTGCTGATTAGATATTTCTTGGACAGTTAGTCAAAGCAGTGCCTATTGTACATTAGGTTTTATAATATAAATTAGCAATGGAAGCTGTATTTAGTTCTAAGAAGCAGGTATAAGATGATTCTGTATAAATGGACCCCCAAACTTTTATATTGTTAATTTCCTACCTTGCTTAAGACAGAAACTATTCATTAGATCATGGCCAGTGAAGAAACCTGCTCAAATATAGTGACAACGTCATGTAAGATGAAAATATTAACACCCTTAATGTGACCTCTAAGATAGGTATCAAGTGTTTTAGCATAAGTTAATCAGATTAGAGTTTTATAATAGGAAGAGATCTTAATGATTATTAAGGCATTCTTTCTATCCAAAGAATGATTTTTATATTGTCAAAGTGGACATTAAGCTTTTGCTGTATACCTCTGTTGACATGAACTTACCATGTCACAAGACCATCCATTCCTTGAAAAATCTGCCTCCTTTATCCTTCCATTGATTCTTTTTCTGCTGGGAACATTGACCGTTGTAGAGTAATCCCAATTCTGATTCCTTTTCTGTGGGTTTTGAGAAGGCAGCTATGTAAATACATTGGTTATCACGCCTTTCTTTAATTCTCATTTATGGACTTTTCAAATTCCAGTTTAAGATTGTTCCTATTATCATCAGCATTATTGGGAATTTTTACCTAAAGGAGTCATAATAATGCTTACATGATGCTTTGCACTTTATAAAATGATTTTTCTATATATTCCCTGGTTTGCAAATAACCCATATGTAGTCTGAGCCATAAGACGTTTACCTCTGAGAGAAGGGGAGCGGGGAGAATGGGAAAAATGAGTGAAGGGGAGTGAAGAGGAGATACAGGCTTCCAGATATGGACTGAATAAGTCACAAGAATAAGAGGCACATTATAGGGAATATAGTCAGTGATATTATAGCAACATTGTATGGTGACAGATGGTAGCTATACTCATGGTGAGCCATAGCACGATGTATAGAGAAGTTGAATCACTTCTCTATTGTGTTGGTTGTATACTTGAAACTAATGTAACATTGTGTGTCAACTATACTCAAAAGTGTGGGGGCGCCTGGCTGGCTCAGTCAGTTGAGTGACTGACCTTTGATTTCAGTTCAGGTCATGATCTCAGAGTCATGGAATTAAGCCCCATGTAGGGATCTACACTGAGCTTGGAACCTGCTTAAGATTCTCCCTCCCAGCCACTCTCTCCCTCTCCCCCACCCCTCTCTTTCTTTCTCTCTGTGTCAAAAAAAAAAATTGAAAGTGTGTCTGTGTATGGATATGTGTATATAGATAGATAGCATTTTATCAAAAAGAAAAGGCTTTTACTTCTGAGATCTAGAAACCATTTCTAATACAATCTAGTTCTTTGAGGCTGTTTTCCTCATTTAGGTCAATCTACTAAGTCCTGTGTTATTTACCTTTATTCTTGTACTGTAGCTATGCAGTTAGTTTTCTTTTTTTGAACAAGACTTTACAAATAATACTTTGTCCTTATTTCCCCAGTTATCTATCAGTCTTTAATTCTGTCATCCAACATATTAACAGCCCCTTCCAATTTTGTGTCCCCTGCACATACTGTGTTTAACAGGATAACAGTTAATGACTTAACTTAAAAATTCAAGCCATGAGAATTTTAAAAGGGGGATAGAGGGACAATAATTCCTGTGCCAGGGTTTTATGTTATAGGTTTTGAGTAGGTTTGAATGCAGTTTTCCAAAATTATGCAATGTCTCTCTTAGCATGTCTATTTACTAATAAACCAATTTTTAGAAATAGTGGTCTTACATAAAAAATAAATACATTCATTTTTTGTAATCATTTTTAAAAGTTTTTGTCTTATTTCTTCAACTGTTAATTCACACAATAACAGAAAGGCAAGTAATTTCATCTAAACTTAGGCACAATGAATTTAGACTTGATTTTAGGTTAATTTTACATACAGGTTATGTCTGTTGTACAGAATGCTATTTATGTACACTTCTACCTTCCTACTATAGGATCAACTGACCAATTTTCAACAACTGACCAAGCAACTTCATGTTACTAATGAGAACATAGAAATGGTAAGTGAAAGTATCCATTTAGTGTGCTTGTTTATACAAACTAGAAATTGTCACTATAAATATTATTTATGCTAATAAAAATCAGTAACAGAAAATCCTGTGTTACGTGAAAGTAAGATAAGTAGGCAGTCCTCTTTTTTATCTTTTACATTCAATAGCTGACAGAATTCACAAAACTTACTGGAGATCTAAAGCTAAAATCTCTCTGAAATACCACCTAATCTAATGGTTATCTTAGGGTTCTAGGTAGGCTCTCCTGAGAGTATTCTAGGCTGTGAGCTTCTCAAGAGTATGACTCATGCTTTATTCTTTCTTTTTTCTTTTCTTTCTTTTTTTTTTTTTTTTAACATTTATTCATTTTTGAGAGACAGAGAGTGCAAGCAGGGTTGGTACAGAGAGAGAGAGAGAGAGACAGAATCCAAAGCAGGCTCCAGGCTCTCACCTGTCAGCACAGAGCCCGACATAGGGCTCGAACTCACCGCAAGATCATGACCTAAGCTGAAGTCAGACGCTCAACCGACTGAGCCGCTCAGGCACCCCTCTCATTCTTTATTCTTACCATTTCGTGTAGCACACTGCTAGGTATATAATAAGAATTGTAGAACTGTTAAATAAACTAATAGACCAATTTCTTAAAAATAATGGGACGTTAAGGATCATTTGTTAGTGGATTGACCACCAGTATTATTTGGTATATCTAAATTTCCCTTTAATATTTTTCTAAAAGAAATGTAATTAGCCTTCCTAATTCTACTCTTTACCTTTTTTCTCCTCTCACTTTTCTTTTTCTCTTCTTTTGTCTCCTTTTCTTTTCCTTTCTTCTTGGAATTTTATTTTACCTCATTGTTGAGTAATATAATTATGACATCCCAGGTAATTCCTCTCTTTCCTTTCTTCATTTTGCTTAGTTACTCTGCTAATTCTTGTTAGTACCTAGTGAAAATGTCTTTGTTTCAGAGTGGAGTTGTGCCATCAAAAGTAAGTTATCTAATTTTTTCTGCCTTTCAAAATTTTCTCCTTTAACCATGCAAAAAATTATTAAATAAATTTTGCCTTATTTAGCTTCTATTTTTTAATCACTTAAAGTTTTTGATGATATACTTCTTAGACATTTTAAAAATAATATTAAAAGTTCTCCAGAACTAAATGACTAATATCCATAATCAGGAAATCATATTTCTGCATGAAATCAGTAGTTTAACCTATTATCACAATTATTCATTCTTTCAGTATATCTCCTAGAATTTCAGGGATTATATAATCCTCTGTTACCTTATACCACAGAGCTCCTATTTTATTATAAGCAACCCAAAATCATTATGATAAAAGTCATGGGAAGCAAATATTTGAGTATTCATAGGAAATGCATTAAAAATTTTCTAAGACACAAGAATTCATAGATTTTAGCCAAAAGTGATAAAGGAGTGACAAGATGGATATAAGAGATGAAAGAGAGAGAGCAAAGAAGAGGCTGTCTTGGTGGTTAAGATAAAGGAAAATGGTAAAAGAAATTTTGAAACTTAAGAATTTTTCTTAATGTACCTATCAGGTGGCAAACAAGACTGCTAAATGTGAAGAGACATAGCTAACTGATTGTAAAGATTTTGTATGTCTCAAAGAGCATTCAGAGCATAGGCATAGGAGCACGTTTGAGTAAAAATCAGACTTGAAGAAAAGTACCCTTTAAAAATCAAGCAGTTCCATAAAAAAGATTCCTGAATTCATAATAAGCTGATTAATGGAATCAGTCCCTATGATGTACAGTAAATTGGTGAGTATACAAGAAGTAATTATCTTTCATGACCAGTGCACTTTTGTAACATATGGAAGTGATGTGAATGATACGTAAAAGTACAAGTTTATATTTATTTATTACAAGTATATATTTATTTATATAATAGTAGGTGATATTTCCTAGAGGTTCTCTTAGTGAAATAATATTCTTTTTTGAGATTTGTTCATCTCTATAAAATTACTCAAAAATATTTGCTAATTGCATATTAAGTTCCTTTCACTGTTAAAGGTTGCAAGAGAAATGGGCATCTAACCATAAATTCCTGTCCTACTTGGTAAAACAGGATGACATATGAAATAATCATGATTGATGATTGAAAGGGATGCCTCCTTGGACCTTTATGAATCTTCAAACTCTAGAATGTTAACATAGTATTTAATTTTCTTTGTAATGACAAATACAAAACACCAAAGCCATATTCAGTTGCAGTTGTTGAGCTCTACTAGGCTTTTTAGCAAATCAAGTGTGTTAGTTTCTAACACTAGCTTTTTATAATTCACAGTTTCAATTTATAATTCTCCTAATTGCTCTATGTCATTTATTTTTAAGGTGTTCCCAACTGGTAAAAGACACAAGCATTAATTATGTTAATGCTAAGACAGTGTATGTAATAAAACATTAATGGTGCATTACAGACATAGAAGAATTCAGAAATGTGAATCAGTTTGGACTGAAGTCATTGAGATTGCTTGACAGGAGAATTTGAAATGATATTAAAAGTCATCTATTTCCTCAAATGACATAGGCATCTTTCATTAAATGCTTTTCAGTTAAATGATCATCTAGCCTATACTGTAGCTATTCCTTGTAAGAGATTTATCACTTCCCCAAAGAGTCTGTTCTTTTGAATTCTGATTATTAGAAAACTAAAATCTTCATAAATTTCCTCCCATTGATATGTGATTTTATCTTTTGGAGTAACATAGAACAAGCTCACTTCTTCAAGTCAACCCTTCAATTATTTACATGTAACCATTAGGTCTTTCCTGATTCATGCCCAGTGCTGCACCCAGTTTGTTCGTTTTAACTATTCTGATATGGTATAATTTACCTACCTTTCATAATTCTAGCCTTCTTTTCCTATGTGTGATAGTTGGCCTCTTAAATTATGGTCTGTGAATGGACCACTAAATTCTGGTCTGCAGTAGTCTGCTTCCCAAAATAAAGAAAGATGCAGTCTTCAAACTCTTCCATGTTTCAATGGAGACATTCATTCATTTATTCCTTAAAGGTTTAGGTACTTAGAATGTACTAAATCATGTGGCATTCACTGAGGATTCTGGGAGAAGGTGGTCTTCAATAAATGAATCATATTTTCGCCAGGAATACATGAACTTTAAATATAATGTTTGAATATAATGTGATGTGTATTGTAAAAATGCATATAAAATTTTATCAAAATATAGAAAGGAAACAATTATTTCTGTCTTAAAGTGAGTGGGCCACACAGGATGTGAGAGGGATAAATGATGGCAGGATGGAATTCTGATTTCAGGAAGAAATAAAATAGTGTATTAAAAATATGAAGTCCGTGGGGCACATCTGTGGCTCAGTCAGTTGAGCGTCCAACTTCGGCTCAGGTTGTGATCTTAAGGTTTTTGAGTTCAAGATCCATGTTGTGCTCACTGCTGGCAGCACAGAACCTGCTTTGGCTCCTCAGATCCCTCCCTCTCTCTCTGCTCCTTCCCCACTCACACTCTCTTAAGAAAGAGAGAGAGAGGAAGGAAGGAAGGAAGGAAGGAAGGAAGGAAGGAAGGAAGGAAGGAAGGAGAAAGACGGAAGGAGGGAGGGAGGGGGAGTCAATGAAATTGAATAGAATATGATAGAAGCACAATGAAAACTGCTTTGGGGAGAAGCATTTGGACAGATGTATGTATGATTTGTTGGGATGGGAAGAAACTGAAATCAAGACTATGCATTATGAAGTAACTGGAGTCTGTATGACTTTACCTATAAGGCATATAGATAAAGATGATAAGGATAAGGGATCTGTGCCTTTGTGATAAAACCAGCACTTACAGAAGAAAATCAATTTCCTTAAAAAAAGTTTTTTCTACAGGTGGAAGACTGTTACATATCTTACTTTAGGTTCCTTTGCAGGCTAACCCTGAGAAAATGATTCTAAAGCATGTCATTTATTTAGGAGATAATACAAGGGAGCACCAGTAAGGAAATGGGGAAGTGATACTGGGAAAGGAAGAGAAGGTAGCCAAAGGGTTTTTAAGAATCATGCCAGTTAACACCGTGGGTAACTGAGAATGAATCCTACCAATGAACTCTGGAAGCCTTTGTATAACAGGCTCAGACTTATTCCACCATGGAGCATAGGAGGAGAGTGAGATGTTTACACACCAGTTTTCTTCAGTCATTGTTATCGAGCTCTTCCAGAGCATACTGGGGACATGAATTCTGCAACACCTGTCACCTTCTGGGCAGTTAAGTGAATAAAGGAGGTTCAAATATTCAAGGAAAGACCTAAAACATAGAAAAACAGATGCACATGGTTTGAAGTGAAGCAGACATCCACTAATGTAGTAAAGGTGAGGAAATATTGCCAAGGTTATATTTTACAGTCAAAAACGCTAATCATTATCATGACTTAATTTTTTCTACTTTTATGCCCTGTAGTTAGTCTTTGAAGATGTAGTTTTAAGTGTTCTAATACTGAATGTTTCTGTTTTTTTTCTTGTGGCAGACTAACCAACACTTTCTGAGAACAGTAACTGAACAAAATGTGGAAATTGAGCAACTCCGAAAACAACTTAGGTAAATTCAAAAATGAATTTTGTTATTTTATTAATAATTTTTTTTCAGGGATGCCTAGTGGCTTAGTCGGTTAAGCCTCTGACTCTTGATTTTGACTCAGGTCATGGTCTCTTGGTTCGTGAGTTCCAACCCTGCATTGGGCTCCATGCTGATAGTGTGGAGCCTGCTTGAGATTCTCTCTTCCCTCTCTCTTTGCCGCTCGTCCACTCACACACATACACACACACACTCTTCTCTCTCTCTCCCTCTCAAGATAAATAAATTTTTAAAGAAATTATTTTACTTCAGAGCAAGTGATGATGCCATCATTTTTCCATGAGTTTTCCACGAATTTTTTTCTTCCCTTTTAAGCTTCTCTCAAGGCAGATTGAAATCAAGACAATTAGTGAGGAGGCATCTATTAATATACACATGAAAGGATGTTCCATGATAGTAAAACCAGTGCTTATGGAATAAAATCAGTTCCCTTAGAAACATTTTTTCTGCACATATCTTCTTTGTATTTCCCTGTAATTAGACCCAGAGAAAAGGGTGTCAAAGCATGTAGTTTATTGAAATGTAATACCAGGGAGCACCAGTAGGAGGAAAGTGGAACAGAGAGGAAGACAAGAAAGCCAGTAGAGAGTTTTTAAAAACCAGGCAACTTAGGGGCACCTGGGTGGCTCACTTGGTTAAGCATCCGGCTCTTGATTGTGGCTCAGTCATGATTTCAGGGTTGGTGCAATCAAGCCTGGCATTGGGCTCCAAATGACCAAAACTTTTTTTTCACTTTTTGTCCCCCTTAATCATAATACTGAAAAGTCAAAAGTATAATCATAATAGGGTTTTGCTCTATGATGCAGTAACTTAGAAATATCTTTAAATTGTAGTATATATTTACATTTTATTAAAAAAAATGTAAGTTTCTGTTTGTTAAATGAACCTTGCTATTTATTTCGTTTTTTACACCATCATGTATTTGGCCCCACAAAATAACATTTTGCTATTTTAAAAAAAGAAGAATTCATTTCACAAAATTTTCTGCCTTTATCAGCTTTTTAATTTAATTTAAATAAATATACATTCTTTTCCCCTAGACATTTCTACTCAAGGGCTTTTATTTGGTCCTCTATATTTCTTTTGATAATGATTTTACATTTTAAAATAGTATTCAATCCCAAGATTTTATTTCTCATTCTTCCAAATGGAAGTGTCTTATTTTAATTATAAAACTAATATAAGTCCATTAGAGAAAACTCTAGATAGTATGAAAGTATACAAGTTACAGTGCAGTTCTGGCACTAACCATGTTTAGTCCAGACTCCACAGATTAAGAGCACAATCCCCAATAAGAACCCTCACTAGGATTCAAGTTTAGGGATCCCCGGGCCACCCACACTCGTGGCCAACTGGCTCCAAATACAAGTGTCCCCACAGTAATTCTCTACAATGTCTAAGGGAACTCAGGAAAGCACTATACTTATGATTAAAATTTTATTATAAAGTTCACAAATCAGAACCAGCCAAAAGAAGAGACCCATTGAGTGAGATCTAGTAAGATCTCAAAATTAGAACTCTCATGTCCTCTACCCATGGAACTAGGGTGCAGCACCCTCCTGGCACATCACTGTGTTCACCAACTAGGAAGCTGACCTAAGCCTTAGTGTCCAGACATTTTATTGTATTTTTATTATATGCCTATGATTTGTTTTAAATCTAAATAAATTTACTTTTTTAATGATATTTCTCAATGACTGTGTCATCCAATAAAACATTATTTGACTATACTTTTGCAATTTAAATATCATGACTGATTGAATCATTGGCCTTTTGATTGAATTCAATCTCCAGTCTACCTTCTCTCCCTGGAGGTCAAGAAGTCAGGCCTATATTACATGGCTCAAAGCCTCAACTCTCTAATTACCTGATTGCACTTTCCAGCATGGCCCAGCTCCCATTCCTACCTTGTGTCACTTCATTAGCATAAACTCAGACATGGTCCCAGAGGCCTACCTTGGGGGGCCTGCTATGAGGGGAATGTAGTAGTGGTGGGCTTGAAATTTTATTTTATTTATTTTTTAGGTTATTTATAATTTTTTTTTTTAATTTAAATCCAAGTTAGTTAGCATATAGTGCAACAGTGATTTCAGGAGCGGACTCCATAATGCCCCTTGCCCATTTAGCCCATTCCCCTTCCCACAACCCTCCAGTAACCCTCTGTTTGTTCTCCATATTTAAGAATCTCTGACGTTTCATACCCCTCCCTGTTTCTATATTATTTTTGATTCCCTTCCCTTATGTTTATCTGTTTTGTATCTTAAAGTCCTCATATGAGTTAAGTCCTAGGATGTTTCTGTTTCTCTGACTAATTTCGCTTAGTGTACATAATACCCTCTAGTTCCATCCATGTAACTGCAAATGGCAAGGTTTCATTCTTTTTGATTGCCAAGTAATACTCCATTGTATGTATACACACCACTTTTCTTTATTCATTCATCCATCGATAGACATTTGGGCTCTTTTCATACTTTGGCTATTGTTAGTGCTGCTATAAACATGGGGGTGCATGTGTTCTTTGAAACAGCATACCTGTATCCCTTGGCTAAATGCCTAGTAGTGCAGTTGCTGGGTTATCGGGTAGTTTTATTTTTAATTTTTTGAGGAACGTCCATACTGTTTTCCAGAGTGGTTGCATCAGTTTGCATTACCACCAGCAGTGCAAAAGAGATCCTCTTTCTCCACATCCTCGCCATCATCTGTTGTTGCTTGAGTAGTTAATGTTAGCCATTCTGACAGGTATAAGATGGTATCTCATTGTGGTTTTGATTTGTATTTCCCTGATAATGAGTGATGTTGAGTAGTTTTTCATGTGTCAGTTGGCCATCTGGATGTCTTCTTTGGAGAAGTGTCTATTCATGTCTTTTGCCCATTTCTTCACTGGATTATTTGGTTTTTTGGGTGTTGAATTAGACAAGTTCTTTACAGATTTTGGATACTAACCCTTTATCTAATGTCATTTGCAAATATCTTCTCCCATTCTGTCAGTTGCCTTTTAGTTTTGCTGTTTCCTTTGCTGTGCAGAAGCTTTTTATTTGGATAAGGTCCCAATAGTTCATTTTTGCTTTTGTTTCCCTTGCCTCTGGAGATGTGTTGAGTAAGAAGTTGCTGCAGCCAAGATCAAAGAGGTTTTTGCCTGCTTTCTCCTTGAGGATTTTTATGGCTTCCTGTCTTATGTTTAGATCTTTCATCCGTTTTGGGTTTAATTTTGTGTATGGTGTAAGAAAGTGGTCCAGGATCATTTTTCTGCATGTCTCTGTCCAGTTTTCCCAGCACCACTTGCTAGAGACTGTCTTTATTCCATTGGATATTCATTCCTGCTTTGTCAAAGATTAGTTGGCCATACGTTTGTGGGTCCATTTCTCGGTTCTCTATTCTGTTCCATTGATCTGCGTGTCTGTTTTTGTGCCAGTACCATACTGTGTTGATGATTACAGCTTTGTAGTACAGCTTGAAGTCCAGGATTGTGATGCCTCCTACTTTGGTTTCCTCTTCCAAGATTGCTTTGGCTATTTGGATCTTTTCTGGTTCCACACAAATTTTAGACTGTTTGCTCTAGCTCTGTGAAGAGTGCTGCTGTTATTTTGATAGGGATTGCATTGAATATGTAGATTGCTTTGGGTAGTATCGACATTTTAACAATATTTATTCTTCTTATCCAGGAGCATGGAATATTTTTCCATTTTTTTGTGTGTTGTCTTCAACTTGTTTCATAAGCTTTCTATAGTTTTCAGTGTATAGATTTTTCACCTCTTTGGTTAGATTTATTCCTAGGTATTTTATGGTTTTGGATGCAACTGTAAATGGGATTGATTCCTTGGTTTCTCTTTCTGTTGCTTCATTGTTGGTGTACAGGAATGCAACCGATTTCTGTGCATTGATTTTATATCCTGCAACTTTGCTGAATTCATGAATCAATTCCAGAGGTTTTTTAAAGGTGGAATCTTTTGGGTTTTCCATATAGAATATCATGTCCTCAGTAAAGAGTGAAAGTTTGACCTCCTCCTGGCCGATTTGGATGCCTTTTATTTCTTTGTATTGTCTGATTGCAGAGGCTAAGACTTCTAATACTATGTTGAATAACAGTGGTGAGAGTGGACACCCCTGTCTTGTTCCTGACCTTAGGGGGAAAGCTCTCAGTGTTTCCCCATTGAGGATGTTATTAGTGTTGAGTCTTTCATATTTGGCTTTTATGATCTTGAGGTATGATCCTTCTATCCCTACTTTCTTGAGGGTTTTTATCAAGAAAAGATGGTGTATTTTGTCAAATGCTCTCTCTGCATCTTTTGAGAGGATCATGTGGTTCTTGTCCTTCTTTTATTGATGTGATGCATCACATTGATTGTTGTGTGGATATTGAACCAGCCCTGCATCTCAGGTACAAATCCTACTTGGTCGTGGTGAATAATTTTTTTAATGTATTGTTGGATCGGGTTGGCTAATATCTTGTTGAGGATTTTTGCATCCATGTTCATCAGGAAAATCGGTCTATAGTTCTTTTTAGTGGGGTCTTTGTCTGGTTTTAGAATCAAAGTAATGCTGGCTTCATAGAAAGAGTTTGGAAGTTTTCCTTCCATTTCTATTTTTTGGAACACCTTCAAGAGAATAGGTGTTAACTCTTCCTTAAATGTTTGGTTGAAGGGGCGCATGGGTGGCTCAGTCAGTTAAGTGTCCAACTTCGGCTCAGGTCATGATCTCACAGTTTGTGAGTTCGAGTCCCGTGTCAGGCTCTGTGCTGACAGCTCAGAGCCTGGAGCCGGCTTCACATTCTGTGTCTCCCTCTCTCTCTTCCCCTTCCCTGCTCATTCTGTGTCTCTCTCTGTCTCAAAAATAAACATTAAAAAAAAAAAATGTTTGGTTGAATTCCCCTGGAAAGCTATCTGGCCATGGACTCTTGTTTTGGGGGAGATTTTTGATTACTGATTTGATTTCTTTACTGGTTATGGATCTGTTCAAATTTTCTG